CTCGGCGCTCACACGGTGCTCCCAGATCTGCTCCGGCAGCCGAAAGCCTTGCGGTGCCCGCAGCACCGGCGCCCCTCGGACACGCAGCCCCAGCCCGGTTCGGCTCGGGGGGACCCTGAGGCCCAGCCCGTGGCACGGACACCTGCGGCTGGGCCGGGCTGCTCCGAGCCCCCCTGGGCTGGGACACGGCTCTGCTCTTCCCTGTGCTCTGCCCCAGGCCGAGCTGCTCCCTCTGCCCCCTCCCCATCACCGCGGAGCAGCTGCGACACACCTGGAAACTTCCTCGGCCCAAAAACCAGGGAGAAATCTGGGGATGGACAATGTGTGCTGCTCTCCCTTGCCGGCAGAGCTGGGGTTTTCCCTCCTGGAAATCCTGAAACAAAACTTCCCTCGTGTCCTGGGTGACTAAAGTGCAAAACACACCACGATGGAGAGCCCTTTATCCTAGAGAGGAGGAGGAGGAGGAGTTGGGATTGCTCAGGCTCTGTCCTGCCAGGGATGAAGCAGTTCCAGCGCTGGGAGGGATGGGGTGGCAGCAGTGAAGTTTCCCTGCTGAAGTGAAGGTGTTCCCCATCACCAGTGCACATCCAGACCTGTTCAGCTGGGAGATGGGGAGAGGGAATAAAGGCAATAACCTTCCTGAATGTTTTATCTTCAGCTTCATGTGGGACAGCGCAGATGATGATGGTTCACACTCAAACAAGACAAAACTCCTGGCTCTTGGTCAAAACCATGACCTGTTTGTCTATGAATTCAGTATAGAAGATGGAAAACACAACCCGAATTCCCTGCACAGTTGTAAGGAAGAGACACTTAAAAAGCTCCTTGAAGCTAAAAACATCAGTGAGTAAATTTCAGTGTGTTGCACGTGTGGAATATTGCAGGGCTGGTTCTGCTGCTCCTGCTGGGATGGATCAGGGAATGGGATTGAGCACTGGGGAATTTCGGGTACCTCCACACTGATCCAATGTGATCAGCAGGATTCGTGGAATTGAAAAATAATGGGGACATTTCGTAATTAAACTCTTGCAGGGTCATGCTTGAGTGATACAAAGTTTCAAAAATAAATTTTAATAAAATATATGCAACCCTGCTCTCTCAAATTTTAACTTTAATATTGGGACTGATGGGAAGAAAAGAGAGCCAGGGCTCATCAATAACCCTGCAAAGACTAATTAAACATTTAACCTTGTATTTTATGATTAGCAAACATAGTGTGCAGTTAGAATGAGCCTTTGCTGTTCCTAAACAGTCTCCCTTCCTAAAACATTTTATTTCCAAAGTTTGTAGCTCTTCTTCTCAGTGCTTACTGAAATCCTATATTTTATGTTCTTCATAGTATTGTCCACTGAAAAAGCCACATAAAGAGTTTTGGGAAATGGCTCTAGGATTAATGTCCCTGGCACAGAAAGTGAGGTTTAAAACCAACCACCCCAACTCACAATCTGTTAGGATGGTAACAATGGGACAATGAATTTGAGCTGTCATTTTCTTGGGATCCCTTTACAAATCAAAAGCCCCACCTGGCTGTAATACAAAATTTAAATATATTTAAATTTACAGGTCTGCCTTCCATTTTCTCTATGAAGATTCTGTCCTTTGGAAGTAACAAGTGCAAACTTCTGCTCAACCAGTTTATCCTTGTGCACCTGACCTTTCCTGGGGAGGACTCACCCCCTGAGACCTGTGACTGCTTCCCCCTGGCTCTGCCTCCAGAAGCTGTGGCGAGAGTCACAGACTCCCAGTTCTGCAGGGGGATCCTGTTCCTGTTGGACAGTGCTGGCTGGATTTGTATCCTTTGCAGGAGAGATCAGGGAGAATCATCTGGAAGAACAAAGTTGCTTTTCTTTGCTGTCAGGGCTGAGCAGAATTTTTTTTAAAGACGTTTAAGTGATGCCTGTGAGGAAGGTTGTGTGGCCACGTCCTGGTTGTTGTAGTGAGTTGCCACAGTTGTGTTGGGTTTCCCAGCACCTCACTGGAGATCTGCTTCCCTCTGGAGTCATGGCTTTCATTCAGGTTTGATTTGTGGCTCTGGGTATAACAGCCTGACTTCTACTGCCACCTGATTGCTTAATTCAGGTTAATGAATGTGATTGCAGGGATCAGAGCCTGGGAGGCAGGTCTGTGTGTTGGGAAGAGCAGGGGCCCAGACCTGGCACTTCCACCTGGATTGAGCCTGTTCCTGGGCATCTTCTCTGGCACATCCAAGTGCAGTAAAATCAGGCTGTGCCACAATTCAGCACCTTCCCCTGCTGTGTAACTCCTCTGCTGGGCACTCCAGGGCTTTTCCTTGATGCTATTTGCAGATATATTTGGCTGCTCTGATGGTGCCACCTTAGGGAAGGTCAGTGTGGCCCTGGCAGCTGGGCAAGGGCAGGGCCCAGCCCCTGGGGCTCCCCTGGCTGGCCTGGCAGTGTCCCCTGACCTCAGCACGGCCGTGGTGACCAGCACCTGCCACCGTGCCCTGGCTCTGCAGCTCAACTCCTACTTCAGGTCAGCTCCCAGGGCAGGGCTTTGTGCTGAACTGACCCTCACAGGCCTGGACTCATCGGGGTGCTGGCAGCTTTTCATCCTCTGCTAGAGCAGAAACTTCCTCTTTGTTTGAAAATTGCCCTTTTGCTCTGATTTATTCTCTGTCACTTTCACAAAGGAAACTGTACCACATCTCTTTATTTTAATCTAGCTGTTAACAATTAGATAAACTTTATCTTGCCCTTTGTGTTTTTTTCCAGGAAGATGAGGTGCTCTCGGTGCCAGGGGTGGGTGGTAGCACCTTTTAAAAATACTGTGGGCTACAGAATTATCAAACTCTACTGTGCTGATTTAGCTTGATAAATTAGGGCCAGGTGGTAATTAAGAGGTGGTGTCAGCCTCAGAGGAAGGAGCAGCAGGTTTTGATGGCCCACCTGTTATCCCGAGAAAAAACTGCACCCAGAGCTCCTGGAGGACTTAAACATGAAAAAACACCTTAAATCATCTGAGCAAGGTGAAATTTTGTACTTATTTCTTTACAGACAGTTCCCTGAACATTTGCTCTGTAAGAGAGATCCAGAAAATCTTCCAGTGCAGCCTCCAGAGGGGCTGGATGAGGATGAGCTGGCCAGTTCTGAGCACAGCATGGAGCTCCTGTCGCAGCCGTTCCGCACGGACAGGTACGGAGGGGAAGAACCTCCTGACACAGCCTGGGTCACTGATAATAAACTGCTGATTTGTTCTTTCAGCTGCAGTTGTGACAGGTGAAATCAGCCCATTCTGCTGTGAATCTTTGGAATTTAGGGTGGACCAAGACAGCTTTACGTACGGCATTGAGCAGCTTCAGGAATTGCTGCTTTGGGGTTACCTTTGAGTCTTACTGATACTAATGAAGCATGTCAGTTACAACTTGATCTGTGGATAAGAAAGATTCAGTTCTGGAATTAATTCTGTTTTTTGATTGATGGGGCATTTTTTGTGTGGAAAAGAGAACTTTTTCCTAGAACTGCTAAACATGGATGTTGTCAGCTGATGCATCTGTGATCATTTGGCTGCAGGGAGTATTTAAGTGCAGATAAAGAGGCTATGGTAAGGTTAAAATGCAGGATGCTGGATGGATTTTATAAGCTCAAAGTGCATTTTATTTAACTGAGAAAGCTTTGCCTGCCTTGTTCTTGGAGTTCTTGGTGTTACAGGCGACTTTGTGCCCTCGGCAGGTCCTGGAAGGCACAGTTGTCCTCACTGTGGGACAGAGTAAGGAGAAGAAGAACACCAGCTTCTCCAGATTTTCACTCCAGTCAAGTGAACAACTTGAATTTGCCTTGGTATCAGTTTTTTACCCATCTTGAAGATCATGATCCTGCAATCTGTGATGATCCAGAGAGGATGGTGGCCTTTGTTCCCCGGGCTGTTACGTGGGCGGCTTCCCGGGCGCTCCAGAGCCAGGGCACGGCCCGTGGGGATGCAGGACAGCAGTGGGCACAGATCTCCGTGGCAGCACCCCAGAAAATGGTCAAACTGGAGTGTAAACTGGTGACTGCAGCTAAAGCTGTGTTTGTGGTGCTGGCACAGGACACGGGGCTGTCTCTGGCGCTCTGGGATTTTGAGTCCCGGGACGTGACGTGTTCCCACTTCGGCAGGAGCAGTGTCTACGTGGAGTGCAGTGCAGAGCTGCCACTGTGCCTGCTGCTGACAGGTGAGGGGCCACAAACTGTCCTGACACAGCTGCTTCAGGCTTTCAGTGTTTTACCTGCTTGCCTGGCTGCTGTTGGGTAACTTCCATTGCATTCCTGCTCGGGTGGGATCCAAACACAGCCGCTGCAGCTTTGCCTCGCTCTTTTGGAAGCAGCAGTGGGTAGAAATGCTGCTGCCCAAGGAGTGGCTGCTCTGTCCTTAGCTGTGGCTTGGTTCTGTCGTTCAGAGCGTGGTCTGTGCCTGGTCCTGTTTGGTTTGACTCGGGAGGAGTTCCTGAGCAGGCTGATGATGTTCGGCAGCGCCGCAGTCGTGGATGCCGTGTGTCACCTCAATGGCTGGGAGAGGTGCTCCATTCCCATCCACGCCCTCCAGGTAAGGAAAGCTGCCAAAGAATAAACTCTGCATTTCAAGCAGGGTGGGTTTAGACACAGTTAAAATCATGCCTCAAACACAGGGGCAAAAGGAAGTGGTTTAGTTGTTAAATAAACAGTAAAACAGTTAATTTAACAGTTGTTAAATAAGCAGATGAGTAACCCAAAGGAAGAAACAGAGCAGCAAAGTGAATGCACGTCAATAAAATAAAAGAAAATGCAGCAGTGTTCACAATTCCCTCTTAGTTGGACCCAAAAGCAATTTTGCCAATTTCTGCAGCAGTTTTTGTCCTCTTGCAAAGTGTTAAATATGAAAAGAAATCCTTGGAACTGGATTTCTGGCTTTACTCTACTGTTCATATAAAATTGCTGTGAGCTTATTCAGAATCCTGATTCTCATAGTATTTACTGTATATTGCTGCAATAACATTTTGTGTGTGAAGATACAGGGCAGGGGTCAAAGGAGCCTGCCAGGTACTGTACAGGTCACCTTGTTATTTCAGGCTGCAGGTGCTGCACACAGAGTTTAAATCCCTTCTGCTTTTCTGTGTTTGTAGTTTGTCACTGAGGATGGAGTAAGAATTCCAGCAGGAAGTGCTCAGTGTATGGGTTTAGGATCCCTTCTTGATTGTTCTGTTTCGTGTTTGTCTAGGCAGGTTTGGAAAATCGCCAGCTGGACACAGTGGACTTGTTTTTAAAAAGCAAAGAAAGTGTTTTCAGTCTGTCTGCACCCTGCCCTGGGCCTGAGCACCCTGGGGATGGCACCTCCCAGTCCTACCTGAGAAGTAAGTGAAGAAGCTGCAGCTGCACAGAGGTGCATTTCCACTGTGAGAAATACACCGAGGTGCATTTCATTGTGAGAAATACACCGAGGTGCATTTCACTGTGAGAAATACACCGAGGTGCATTTCCTTCTGACAAATACACCGAGGTGCATTTCATTCCCTCTCTCCCTATGGCTGGGTGTGGGCTGCAGATGTGTGAACTGTTTGTGGAACCATTGCAGATCTGGAGGAGCTCAAGCCAGCTTTAAACTTGCTCTGCTCAGCAATCCAGGACAGTGACATGGAGCCTCACAGCAAGCAGTTCTCTGAGCAGCTCCTGAGCCTCACCCTGACCTTCCTTACCAAGCAGCTGGAGGAAATCTTTGTGCACACACAGGGTAAGATCCCTCCTGCTGGGTCATGTCTAGTAGTATGTCATCATTTAAGTAAGTAAGAACAGCTAATTCTTTTAATTAAAAGCTTAAATTTGCCTAGAATTAACATAAAAATACTAGAATTAAGTGAGTGAAAGATGCTCATCCCTGTGTTTTAGATTTGACTTACCTGACTAATATCTGGTTGGATTAATACAAAATTTCAGTTCTCCTTTACTGGTCCCTGGGCAGGAAAACCCCTGAGTGAGGGCAGGGAGCTCTGTGGAGTTGTGGCTGTGTCCTGAGTGCTGGGAGTGCTGGGCTGTCACTGCCTGCACAGGGGACAGAGCTGATGTGCTCTTCCCTCCGAGGGGTTTCTGTTTATTAATCAGCACATTCATTAATTCAGCATTGTTAGACATTAAAATCTGTCCATTCCCATTTTATTGATGTCTTGGGTGCTTTTGGCAGAACCTGATGAATTCCTGCAGAAGGCTGCAGATATTTTAACTGACTACATCATTAAGCTGAGAAAATTCCTGAGGAAATATCCTCGAGCACCGATGACTCCAGGGCACACGGCAGCTGATCTGGATGAAGACCTGCCTGAGATAGAAGAGAGCCAAGAATGGGAAAAACTGACACCAGAGGTGAAACTGAGTCACCCAGATTTTAGTGCTGTGATGGAGTTTATATAAGGAGATGATTTATGTGGAAATACCTTAAAGGACAGGGGAAGAAGATCAGCACAGGGCTGGTATAGATCCGTCTGTTCCTTGTTTTTCCCTTTAGGAGGTCATTGCCGAGGCCATCCTGAGCAACAAAGTGCCAGAGGCCCAGATCTTCTTCCGAAGGCAGCAGCATCCTGCTGAGAGCCTGCAGGAGTTTATCCAGATGGGTTTGAGCCTGGCCTACGACTGTCTGCTGAAGGGCAGCACCAGGGAGGCCTCGCAGCTGCTGAGGAACCTGGTGAGAGCTGCTGGGGTGGGGCTGGCGAGGAGCACGGGGAGCTTCTGGGGCTGCTCTGGCTCCACCAGAACCAGGGGGGATTGCAGTGAAAATGGGATTCTTTGAGGCCGTGGGGGTGTGTTGGCTGAGCTGCTGAGCAGCAGGGGCAGGGTGGCTCTGCCTGGGGAGGTGTCCCAGGCTTTGGGGACATCGGGGACATCCCTGTGGGAGCTGCTGCAGGGCCTGGCACAAGCCTGTTTGTCAGGGCTGTGTGCTTTGGAAGGAAAGCAGCTGTGTGTATTCTGTCTTTGATCTTTCCAGTGTATTCTGTTGGCACATTTTACAGTGGGTGTCTTCTCTGTGCCAGGGCTTGGACGTGAAGCAGGAGCTGCACAAGATCTGCCTCCACACAGAGGACAAACACGTACGGGAGCTCCTGGTGAGTGCAGCAAAGGCTCCTCCAGTCCAGGTCTGAGCCCTGGAGCCTGGGGTGTGTTTGTGCTGGGACTGAGCTGACCTTCAGAGCAGAGACAGCCAGGGCTTGTGCCTTTCTCCTCCTGGAGCATCCCTGTCCCTTTGCATTTGCAGTTAAAGTACAGAACTGTTAAAATATCATTTATTTGTCCTGGCTCTGATCAGGTTCTCTCACACAGTCTGGAGTCCTCTTGCCATTTAAGTATTGCTCTCTGCTTCCAGCATTTCTTTCCTACAGTTGGTTGTTGTTTGCACTTGCAGGATCATTTACAACTGGAATGTATTAAAGACAGATTAAACTGGGGGCAATTGGAGGTAATACTTTAACAGTTGGAGGTAATGCTTTAATTTGAATTAAAGGTGAAAGTCTTACAAGAAGAAAACTATTTTTCTGAAAAAGAGAAGAAAATGATAGACTTTGTGCATCAGGTTGAAAGCTTCTACTCAGAATCCTTCCAGGAAAATAAAGAGACTCAGTCTCTTTCCAGGTAATGTGGGTTATTAATTTTAATAATTAATTAACAGCATTAATAGGGTTTAAAATGTGCTGGATTCTACATTCTGTTAGATTTACTGCACTAACAGATACAGTCTTTAGCTTCATTAATTTCACACTGCACATTTGCAGAAATCAGAGTCAGTGTGGGGACTGAGTCATTTTCTCATTAATGTAGCAGTTTGTGTTCTCTCATGACAAACTCCTGTGTGAGTCATGACAAACTATTGTGAGGGTGACAGAGCTCTGCTGCTTCAAATGAAGAGTTTTTAATAATAATATTAGAATTACTACTCAGTTATTCATGTTCAGATGTTTGCTCTGTTTTTGATCTATGATATCTGTAGCACAGCAAACGAAATAAGCTACAGAAATCATTTTCCAGTTAAATAATGGTGAAACCGTTATGATACTGACAATTTGTTATGTCAGCTTTGGGAAAACGAGGCAGCTCTTCAGCTGTCAGAGCTGGAGCTGGAGTCAGTCCCTCTGGCAGTCCAGCTGTGCTGAGCTGGGGGGCTGAGGCCAGGCTGACCCCAGCCCGTTGCAGTTTCAGCTGCAGGAGGCAGCAGCAGGAGCTGTGCAGGCACCAGGCAGTGCTGGGCTCGCAGCTGTGCCGGGCCAGCAGCAGCAGCAGGATCAGGGTGCTGCTGAGCTGGGCTCTCTGGTGGGATGAGCTGCTGCAGGAGATGATTCTGCTCCCCTGGAAACCTCGCCAAGGCAAGTACTGTGGCACTGAGGGCTGAAACTGGGCATGAGGATCTCTTTGGGACAGCACAGCCGCTGTGTGGGGCTGCCAGGGGCACAGAGGTCACTTACTTGTGTTACCAGTGGAAGTGGGTAACGATGGCTTCCAGCCTATTCCATCCTGGATCCGGGCTCTTCCTGGAGAGAAGGGTTTGGAAGTGGCTGGAAGGGCCTTGGCTGAGGCATGGCCACGTGTGAGTGCCACCCTCTGCCACGTCCTGCCCTGCTCCCTGTGCTGGGGAGCTGCTCCCAGCTCTGCCAGCACGAGGTTCCAAAAGCTGGAGCAGTAGCCTTGATCTCAGCACCATGTTTACAACTGTTCACTAAAAATTGGTACCTGGAGGGACAGGACACAGGGCATGGCTCCCACTGCCAGGGGACAGGGCTGGATGGGATTTGGGGCAGGAATTGTTCCCTGGCAGGGTGGGCAGGCCCTGGCACAGGTGCCCAGAGCAGCTGGGGCTGCCCCTGGATCCCCAGCAGTGCCCCAGGCCAGGCTGGGATGGTGAAAGATGTCCCTGCCCAAGGAACTTGATGCACTTTAAGGTCCCAGCCCAAACCATTCCACAATTCAGTGTAAGAAAATCCCAGTATTTCCCTCAGAAGTGTTTGTGTGTGCTGATTTCATGCATTCACCTTTTTGAAACCCAGACCTCAAGACCTGCAGTCCTGAGGCCCTCTGGATGCACCTGACAGCCCAGCATGACTGGGTCAGCATTTGCTCCTGGATTGAGGAGTCAGAGCCCAGCCAGGCTCCGTGTGGCCGCTCTGCCTGGCCCCCCCTGAGCCCCGACATCGTTGACAGGAGCACTCTGTGCAGCACCTACATGAGACAGGACATCCTGAACAAGCTGGCCAGGTAGGGCCCCCAGGGCTTCACACTCTCTCTCCTTCCTGTGTGAAGCCAAAATCAGAAATGAAATCCTTGACACATAGTAATTTTTATACTGCTCCTTTTGGAAACAGCACAAATCCATGGGTAAGTGTGATTTTAGTCTTCTGCTTTGGGTTGTCTGAAACACTAAGAGCACTCCTCCTTCAGCCCCTGGATGTTTCCCAATGGATATATTCCTGATTCCAGCTTTAATGCAAGGGGGGAATTCTGAGCATTTCGCAGCTGGTTCTGTGCAGTGATCACAGTGTTGCTGGGGCACAAGCAGATGGATTTTGGCACATTGTGTTTGTCTCAGTGAGGAATTAATGCCTGAGAGGGAAAGGTCTGCTCTAATTCTGAGCTGAAAACACCCATCAGAACTTGTCAAAGAGAACTGAACTTGTCAAAGAGAGCTGTGTGATCAGTGTCTGTGCTTTCTTCTGACAGAAAGGGAATCTTTGTCCGTTCTGAGCTGGAAGATTTTGAGCTCTTGCTCCAGAGGCTGTCGTGCCTGGGGGGAGTCTTGCAGAATCCTCACCCTGTTCCAAAATACAGCACTGCCAGTGGCCTGGACTTCCATGGCCAGTTTGTCCTGCACTGCCTGGAGCACAGCCTGCAGTACCTGCTCTACACTTACCTGGACTATTACAGGTAGCAACCCCTCCCATCCCTCAAATCCCATGAGGGATCCCAGATTTGAAGGAGGAAACACAACTTGAAGAGTGGGTAGGGAGAGTTTTCCTCAGCCCTGGCAGTGTCATTTGACAGAAACTCTGGGGCAGTGTGTGAGATTTTAAGCCATATTTTGCAGCTTTGTTCAGATTGTCTTAATATTAATTTGTGTGTCAGTCACAAAAGGAAACAGTTACAGCTGTAATTAGTGTGATGCTGTAAGCAGTACAATCCTAAATGAGCCAAGTTGCTCTTCAGAAGCTCAGAATATACAGAATTCAGAAACTTTCTTAAGCACAAGTGTGAATTTACTCCTGCTATGTTCAAATAAGGAAATTGCTGGTTTCCACCTAAACCAGGGTTAGCTGGGATTTGAAGGTGTAACCAGTCTTAGGTATTGGATGAATACTTCCCACTTAATGGATACTTGGCAATTAAAATTTCTGAGCTCTAACTCCAGCCTAACACTGGAATTATCAGGAATGTAGAAGTGGACAGAAAAAAAGCCACTACCTCATTTTCTGGTTTGTCTAAGACTTGTATTTGGCATAACACCTATGGGATGCTGCAGATCTTTAATGCTGTGTTACATCAGAGGTTACAAGTCCTGTGTTTTCACTCTGCTGCTCATTCATTTCCAGTTTAACCCCTTCAAGCTGCCCTATCCTGGATAACAAGGAGCTGCACGAAGCCCATCCCTGGTTTGAGTTCCTCGTGCAGTGTCGAGGGGTTGCCAGCAGTCCCCGAGGTAGGGATCTCGCTGCAGAGCGGGGCTGATGCTTCTGCCCAGCACAGCTGGGTTAAACCTCTGCCCTGCTGCAAACCCTCTGGCCATGGCCAGTCACCTCCCTGCCCATCACCTGCTCATCTCTGAAATCTGGGTTGTGATTCCTGCTTGAACTGCCCTTGAAGATCTGGAGGCTGCACAGAAGTGAGAATCATTCTGTGTAGGATCATTGTTACCTCCAGCTCAGTCACGTTCCCAACAGGTTGAACAGAAGGGAGAATTCATGAGAAAACACACATCCCATGGGAATGAAACCTTCCTCTAGTCCCTGTGGGATATTTTGATTTCTCTGCCCTTGGATTATGTGTTGGCTTTACTGAAAGCCAGTAGAATTTGTGCCCCTAACTCATCATGCTTTTTAAACATTTCATCTTCTTCAGAGTCACATTTACAAAAGACAAAAACAATCCCAAGTGAAGCTTTTTTTTAGGAAGTGTGATCAGTGTAGGATAAAGAATTGAACCACTCCAGTGCTAAACTGTGGGGCTCAACCCCTGGGGAGGCAAAGCTGTGGTTTGAGCAGGGAAAGCTTGGTAAACCTTAGCTCATCTTACCTGTGCTTACTGGCAAAGAGAGGAAAACCATTATGGACAACAGAAAGTAGAAAATTCAGCATTTTTCACAGTCAGAGAACAGCTGTAACATGTTTTGATGATTTAACACTGGTTTTGCATGGAATTAAGTGTCACTTTTTTTTTTTTCCTTTGAAGATCCCAAGATGATTTTCCAGGCCAGTCTGGCCAACGCTCAGATGCTGATTCCCAGCAGCCAGGGGGGTGTGAGCAGCATCCTGCTGGAGGGCAGGACCCTGCTGGCCCTGGCCACCACCGTGTACGGGCCTGGGGGCATCGACCAGGTACTGCCTGGGGCACCTGGGCCCTGATCCCTGTCCTGCTGCTGCCCTGCCCTCGTGGCTTTGATGGAAAATGTCCCCTGAGCCACGTGCTGGAATGGCCAGAGTGTAACAGCACAGGCACCTGCAGCATCAGCTGCTGGGGAAGATGGGGCTGATACAACTTGAGAACATTTTACAGGAAAAAAGATGATGCTTTCTGTGTTGTCACAGCATGTTAAATTCCCCTGAGGGAGATTGGCACACCCCAAAGTTGTTTTGTTGTCATTTAGTGCAGTTTCCTCCTAATTAATTTTGCTTGCTTGCAATGTAGGTCCTTCAGAACGAAGATACAGAAAAACCTCTGAAGAAAGTTGATCCCCAGCTCTTAAAAATGGCCTTGACCCCTTACCCCAAGCTGAAGGCTGCTCTCTTTCCCTCCTGCACTGCTCATGGAATTTTGCCTCCTGACATCTCTCTCTACCACCTTCTGCAGGTACACAAAGTGCTTTTGGCAGGACATAAGCAAAGAGAAGTTTGGTGTCAGCAGAAGGGGGTGGGAGCCAGGGCTTGCTTTGGGATGCTTAATGTGGAGCTGAAGTTCCCAGCTTCATCCTGAACTGCTTTTTCAAGTGGTCTCTGCACCTTGTGACTCTGCACTGCTGGAATGGCAGAGGGATATTCTTGCAGTGTTCAGTGGGCAAGGTGTTTAATATTGCAGAAATTACAATATTTAAATTTTAAGATGTTTGTAACAGTGAGAGGATCAGAAATTGAGAATTAGATAGGACAGTGATGTGAAATTCTTAAGCTGCCTCAATATATTTTGTTTCTGATCTTTCAGTCATTAATGCCCTTTGATCCCAGAAAATTATTTGGCTGGCAATCAACAAACACTCTTGCTGTGTCAGGTATGTTTCCTGCCAAGGTTTACATGCTTTCCTAGCCTAAGCACCCAAAACAAATTACGTTCCAGGGGAATTATTTGGCAGATAAATTTATTCAAAAGGCCATTTCTTTCACGAGAAAAATAGTGTAATTTACTAAAACAGGGTTTTGAACTAGAATTCTATTTTTTTGCATTAAGCTCTTCACAGGCAGATCTTTCTCTAAATACCAGAAAGAAAACCACTGTTTGATTTTAAAAGCAAGCTGAGGTGATGCAGAGCTCTGATTTTCCAGCGAGGAGTGGGGTTTTGGTGTGGATTTGGATCTGCCAAGGTCTGGATGAGAGCTGGGGAGCCGTGTTTGATCCTGCCCCAGGTTCTGCGGCCACAGGAGCTGCTGCTGTTGGGTTCAGCTGTTGTCACTGAACACTGTTGTTCATTGTTGTCACTGCTGGTGCTGCTGTGTCATTCCAGATGCCTGGAGCGAGCTGCCCCACTTCTCCTGGCCCGAGCTGGTGAGCAGGCACGCCGTGGTGGAGAGGCTGGGCTTCCTCTTCTACCTGCGCCACGGCCGCCCTGCCTTCGCCTTCGGCACCTTCCTGCAGCAGCTGGCCAGGAGCAAAGCCCCCAGGCAGCTGTGAGTGTCCTCAGCAGGCACAGACCTGAGCACGGGGGGATTCACCCTCCCCAGCAGCCCCTGGGAGCGTCCTAAAAGTCAGAAATCAGATGGCACCTGAAAGGAGGAGAGCTGAGTTCGGAGTTACCGCAGTGGAATCCGCACAAGGGGAGCCAGGAAAACATTCCAGTCAGATCAAACGTGGGTGGGCTCTTCTTTTAGGAACCTGAGCCCCTAGATGACTTCATAGGAGAGTGATGCTCCTTTTCTTTGACATTTCCTAATGTCCTTTGAAATTTCCTAATTCTTTAGTTTATCAGTAAGGCAAGAAAAGGGAAAAAGTGCTCTGGAGGCTGATGGATTTAAGTGTTCTGGCTGAAGCTTCAAAATCAGGTGTTCAGAAGGGTTACAGTCAAATGGCACATCTTGCTTGAATACCTGGAATCTGCTGTTTAGTGTGGGAATTAGAAGAAATCACTTTGCTTCTGGGATGTCTGGTTTGTGCATTAGTCACTGTTTGTTTCTCTCCATGGGTTTCTCTTGTGTAAAACTGGAGCAAAAAGGGAAGCAGACATTAATGCAGAGTGAAGCCATGGTTCAGCAGACAGTCAGGGACACAGGATTGTTTCAGTGGCTGCTGTGGGAAAACCCTTTGGGTACATTTTTCTCTTAGCACCATCTGCAGGTCAGACTCGGCTTCCTGGTGCTGCGGTGGATTGGAAATCTGCAAATGTGCAGATCTCTTTGTGCCCTCAGCTGCTGAGGGGGTGTTCAGTGAATTTTAACACCAATTCCACTGCCTTTAGCTTCTGATAAATGTACTAAATTGCAAACTCTGCTTGTCACGTGTGAGCCTTCCCTCCCACCCCCCCATTTTCTATAAACATGGGATTGTGGCTGAGGGTTCTGTTTGTGGCTGCTGGCTGTGGGTTCAGAGGAGCACACGGCTGCAGCTCCCCGTGCGTGTGTGTGTGCTGCTCCTTGCAGGGTCCAGCAGGCAGCACGGGAGGCCCGGCTGGTGGCCCTGTCCTCCTTGGGTGTCCCCTCGGTGGCAGCAGCCTGCGTGTGCTTCCTGGAGCTGCTGGGGCTGGACAGCCTGGGGCTGCGCGTGGATCTCCGAGCTGCCAGCAGCATCGGCACCCCCAGGAGCAGGAGCGAGGGCTCTCACCACAGCCACAGGGACAGCCTGGGTAAGGAGCCTTTGGCTGCTCTGCAGTGGGGAGGCTGCAGAGGTGCTGCCTGCTGGCTCAGCAGTCAGCATCTGAGAACTTTTGCTGTTCTTTTGTTCCTGGTTTTGTACTAATTTTGAAGGTGCACGTTGATCCTGTGGTGTGGGGTAAGGCAGGAAGAGTGATACAGCTCTATCAGGAGCTAACACACACTGCCCAGCAGCTGCTAAAGCTGATATTAGTGAGGTTCAGCCTTGTAATGATGTTCCACAGAGTTAAACAAATGCCAAATCTCCTTTCTCCCTCCTGTTTGAAAGCTGTCTTACACCTGCAGGGAGATCAGGTGTTCAAAGCTGTAGGGAAATTAAATTTATCCTAGAAACAACTTCAGAAAGTTGAATTTCTAACTCTAGGGCCACAGGTGGCTGCTTTCCCAACCAGGAATCTCCTGGTACTCTTGGAAACACTGCCCTGGCTCTGAGCCCAAACAGCACCTCAGGAATGTCTTCTCCTCAACAGCTGAGAAGTTTACAAAGTTGGCTGATGGTGAAAAAGCAGCAGCAGCAGCAGTTCTGAGCTCCCTGGAGGAGGCCTTCTGGGATGGCATTGAGCAGCAAGGAGTGAAGAGGTGAGAGCAGCCTGGTTTGAGGGGTTATCTGGGGAAGGGGGCTGAGCACTGGCTGCTCACTGGTGTTTGTGTGTCAGGGCACAGCAAAGAGGCCAGGACCTCGGTGGCAGCTCCCAGGGCTGTGTGCAGGGTCACAGGGTCACTTCACACCTCAACATCTGCTGCAGATACTGCAGCTCATGGCAGCTGAAGCTCTCTGAACTCCCTGCAGGACATCCAGTGACTCCAGAAGGCAGTGGTCCTTGGTCATGCAGTTCTGCAGGGTCCATAACCTGGAGCTGAGCACGTCCTTCCTGAGGGAATGTGCCAAATCCAACGAGTGGCTGCAGTTCCTCGTCCAGACCCAGCTCCACGGCCACCAGCCAGCCCAGGTGAGCTGGGGGTGCATTAAACTGGGTCTTGTAGCAAGAGGATATCCCAGTGTGGAGACAACAGGGGCCCCAGCAGTTCCTGGGCTTTGGTTCTCTTGGGATATTGAAGCCCTTGGCCTGTGCTAGCCCTCCCTTGCAGCTACACTTGCCAATGGAATTTAAACTCAAGCAGTTACTGCTTTTTTTAATTGAAGAGCTGCCAGATGTTCAGTGTAAGTTATAATAAAGCCACTCATCTTTCCTTTCAAAACTCAAATTGATTTCTTGGTAAAGAAACTTTTGAGAATCCAATTTTTCCACCTTCGGTTTTGAACGTGATTTAAAAATGAATAAAATACTCCCATAAAAGCAATTGGGAAAAGCCATGTGAGGAAGCTAACTGGGTAATTCCAGGTAAGATGATGCTCAGCAGGCCTAGGATTTTAACTTGGATCTGCTTGTTGTTTTGAGGAATCTGTAATTACTAAAGCAGACCCTTTTCACGCTCTGTTGCTGCCCTACAAGAGAGAACAGAGCTGAGGCTCTCTAGGAGACATTTGAGCTTTGTGGAAAAGGATGAGCTTCAATCTTTCATTAGAATAATTATTTCATTATTAATAATAATTTCTTTAGAATAAGTATTCATTAGAATAATCTAAATAATTAGAATAATTTATTATTAATAATAATTCACACCTACAGAACCCGTTTTCCTCTCTAGGTCTCCAAAGCTGTTCTAAGAACCAAATTTTGTCTTTGTGTATTCAGTGCTTCCACCCTCCTTCCCTCTCCTCTGAGCCTGACGAGGTTTTGGTGCTTTTCCCCAACAGGTCGTTCCCCTCCTGCAGGATTTCCCTCCCGTGGTACGAGACCACCTGCTGCTGGCCCTGGGCAAGCTGCTGTGTGCTGAGGCTGCCCGTGCAGGGAGCGTGTTCCAGATGCTGCTGCAGTGCCAGGAGGAGCCCAGCCCCTGCTGGCACCTGCTGGCCGAGGGGCTGCGGGCACACGCGCCCATCCTCAGCGTGCTGGCCGCCTGCTGCCCCGTGAGTTCCCTGCTGAGGAGACAGCAGGAGCTGGGCCTGCTTCCTGCACCTGCCCCAAACCTGCTGCTGCTCCTGTGGGACCCCTGCCAGCGGCCAGCTGGGCTATAAACCCATCCTTCTGGCACTTGCAGGATGCAAACCTCATCTCCTGCCTCTGTGTGTGGATCATCACGTCCGTGGATGGTGCCACCAGGGCTGAGGCCACCGCCCACACCCAGAGCCGGGCAGGGAGTCCCCAGTGGGACCTGCAGGACCTCGCTGCCATCTGGAAAGTCCTCCTGAGGAAGCAAAAGAGCAAAACACTTCTCAATGGCTTCCAGCTCTTCTTGAAGGTGAGGGGATGTGGTTTCAGGGTATATTTGATGTGTCTCACACCTCCTGGGCCTGTAAATCCCCTTCTATCTTGCTTTGTGCCAAGGATAACCTGGCTGTCCACTGAAATTCCCAGCCAAATTAGAAATTCTTCCAGTTGTCACAGATTTGTAGATCCTACATCAACCTTGCATGCACTTTTAATAAATTAAAACTTCATTGTTCTGCTGCTGAGGAAACAAATTCTACATTTATTAAATGAAATAATAGATTATTTTTTAAAAGTATGATTTATTTATTGAGGTACTTCTGGGAATTTATCATCTGTTTTTTTTTGTCTTAAAGGATTCCCCTTTGCTGCACATCCTGGAGATGTATGAACTGTGCATGAACTGTAAAAAGTACAACGAAGCTAAAACCAAACTGGAGAAATTTCAGGAAAGCCTCACAGAAGTAAGGACATGGATTTTCTCTAAATGTCATTGCTGGGATTGTTTGAACAATCCTTTCCATCCCACTTTTCTGGTTCCCTGAGTATGCTGCTAACTAACATTCCCTGTCACCAGTGGATTTCCTCCCTGCACCTCAGCAGCTCAGTTCCCTTTCCCTTCAGGAGCAGATGTGCTTGGACAGCGGCAGGGACTGTTTGTCCAGCAGTTCATTAATTCTGCCTGGCCACTGCTGGTCCTGCTGCCACCTCTGATGTCCCTGGGAGGGAGCAGCAGGGCCGTGTTCCCAGGGAAAGGGACCCCTGAGCCTTGTCCCTTGTTTCCCGCAGCTGGGAGCCGCGGCAGGGGCGGCCCCCGAGGTGCCGGGGCCGTGGCTGCGGTCGCAGGCGCTGTTCCTGCTGGAGCTGATGCTGCAGCAGAGCCGCACCGACTACGAGCTGGGCAAGCTCCTGCAGCTGCTGGCTGCCACAGAGAACCTCCTGCTGGATGGTGAGGACACCGTGGAGCCCAGCCCCTCTGGCGGGGCTGAATCCTGAGGGAAGCTCAGCCTTCCCTGGGCTCGGCTCTCCTGAGCTGTTCTCTTTAACACAGGTCCCCACGTGAAGAGGCTCTGTGCCCTCAGCGAGGCTCTGAGGGGCTCCTCCATCTCCATCAGCCGCTCCATCCTGACCTCCTGCAGCCTGCAGGCCTTCCAGGAGGAGTGCAGCTCCATTCTGGAGCAGCTGCAGGAGAAAGGAATGTTCAGCCTGGCTCGGGAGGTGGCAGCCCTGGCTGAGCTGCCCGTGGACAGCGTTGTCACACACGAGGTACAGTTAGTGACAGTCACCTCTTCTTCCTGCTGCTGCCAGCATCGGGCATGCAGCCTCTCAGCCTTCCTGAAATGTTAATTCTTTGTTAAATAATTTTTTATTTTAAATGCAAGTGCACCAAACACTCTGGCTGCACATGCTGAGCTGCAGGGCTCAGGACAACTCTCCTTAGATTCTCTTACTGTTTTTATTCGTATGCAATCAGTTTTATTTGGGGAGAAAAACAGACGGGTTTGTCTGTCAGGGGGTGGAACTAGATGATCTTTAAGCTCCCTTCCAACCCAAACCAATTCTGTGCCTTGTTGCATATTGGGGCACTTACCTAATCCAGTGTTTCAGTGCTGGCCATCCTGTGTCACTTGGGAGTTTTCTTGCTTGGAAAGATAATCGTGATAAACCTCTGTGGGTTTTACAGGTTCTGAGAGATCTACATCATTTAAGGGACACTGGACAGTGGCATCACACCCAGACGAGAGCTGACTTCTGGAAAAAGTGCAACGACACCTTCAGCAAACATTCCGTCTGCAGCCGAGCCGCAGCGGCCTTCTTCCTCGAGCAGGCCAGCAGCGTGTGGGAATGCCCGGGGCAGGACACAGCCGGCCTGGGGGAGAGGCAGCTGCTGCTGACGCTGGCCGGGCACTGGCTGGCGCTGGGGGAGCCCGAGGTGGCGGTGCCGGAGCTGCAGGAGCTGGAGAAGAGGATCTGGCAGTGCCGGGTGGCCGAGCGAGCGCTGGCGGCCGAGGGCTCGGGGCAGGGTCCCTGCGG